GTCCATAGTTATATCTTTATTTATTGCTTCTCTTTGTGATTCTGTTAACTGAAACTTATTTATTTTTTCAAAATATTTTTTTATATCTTCAACTGTCGTGGTTTGAGGTATGTTATATATCTTGCTATAGAAATCATTAAATTGTTGTCCTATATCTTTGGGAGTTACTGCAGTTATTCCATTATTTATTATTTTTTCCACCTTATTTAAACCCTTTTGTTTTCTAAGTTTTTGTGATAGCAGTTTGTCAGCTCTATTGCCCTTAGAATAATATTTTAATTTTAAAATGTCTAAGCTTTTAACCGATCTTTCCATTAGTTTTTGATTTATATTATCCTTTATTGCTATTTTCTCAGAATTTTCGACTGTTGGATTTTGTTTATTAATTTGGATCAACTTCCTTAACTGAGTATGAAGGTAAGATAGACTAGTTTTTTTTTTTATCAATTTGGCTTTGAAGTTTGATAAAATGGCCCCTTATTACTGCTTTAAAGGCGCACCACAAAGTGGATGAATCAATATCTTCTGTACTATTTTTCTTTGAAATGTTTGCTTATATTTGTTTCCATATGTTTTTTATTCACATCAAAGCAGAGCAAACTATCATTTAAACGCCAGCTATATGGTTCTTTTATATTTTTTCCAATATCTATTACACATAATACACCATTATGATCTGTCCAAACTGTTTCCTTTATATTTACCTTTAGAACTATATTGATAAGTTTGGGGTCTATCCAAATCATATCCAACCTTGAGTAGGAAAAATGAACTTTAGAGAAGTGTGTATAATCTCTTAAATTTGGATTATGAATTCTCCAGATATCAAACAGGTTGAATTCATCTTTGATATTTTTTTATGGATTTAGCTTGTTTAACTACCATTTTATTTATTTTAACACCTTTCATTATTTTCTTATCTAATTGTGGATCAATCACCGCATTTAAATCTCCAGCTAATATTAAATTTCCTACTTTTATTTCTTCTATTTTTTCTAGAATACATCTTAAATAAGAAGCTGGTGAATAATTTGGGAGGTAGACATTACAGAGTGTAAATAACTTAGAATTCATTTTACATATTATTACCAAAAATCTACCATCTACATCTTGTAATTGATGAATTATTTCAACTTCTATTTTTTTCACCAAATATTATGGCTACACCACATTTTTTTTAATCTTTATTTGAGGCTTGTATGATAAGTGGGAATTTCTTTCCGCCTCAAGTTTGTTTGTCCGATTGCCTCCAATGGGTTTCTTGTAGAAATCCCAGATCTATGTGTTCAGCAGCTAAATATTTATATACTAAATACCTCTTTATTGTTGTATTCATACCTTGGACATTATGGGTTAACATTCTTATCATTAAAAATTCTCAAACCTCTTTCCCTCCATCTCGACATTGTAATCTCCCCTATTTTCCTCTATTGCTGCACAAACATACATATAACAAAAAACACATATCTAAAATCGTAGAAGGATATCATCCTCCTTAAACACATAGACTGTTAACTCACCAACTGGGGAGTCAGTCTATTCCTGTGTATAAATAGTAGACACTAAGTAGGTCTGTCCGGATTAAGGTGATAATGCATAGTGATACCCCTTAGACTATTTTATTGAGAAAAAAAAAATAATAATTTCTTTACGTCTAGCATATGTGCAGAAGGGTATAAATGAGAACCTTTCAATTGTTATTCATCTATTATGTTTGACACATACTTTAGGTCGATTCTTCTACTATAAACATAATTAAAAAAAACCTTAATAAATAATTTATATAAAATTAATCTAAACAAATATAAGTAAAAATGGGTGAAAATGTTTCTAACAACTTTTTATCCTCATAATCCATCACAATTTTTTTTCGTGTACATTTTTTGTATATTACTTGCATCATAAACTTCCCAACATTTCTTCTAGTCCAAACACATACACATAGAGATTTATTTAAGTATCTTTCATTTATCCTTATTAATCTATCCCATTATTTCTTGTGATTATTATTTGTGAATTACATATATCGTAGGCTTCGATTCTTCTGCCTTTAACATAAGTGAAAACCTTAATGAGTATTTTTCCTAACAGATATACATAAAAATATTTATAATGACCTTTTATCCTCTTTATCCCAACTACTTATTATATTAATCATAAACTGCTAAACAGTTGTTTTACCATTCACATAAGAGAAAAAAAATAAAAATCTTTTTCTTTAATTCTAGCATATGTACACAAGAATATAAATGAGTACCTTTCAAATCTATCCTTATAAACCGGTCTCATTATTTCTTATGTTTGTTATTCGTCTATTGTGTTTATCACACACTTTAGGCAGATTCTTCTATTATAGACATAAAAAAACCTTAATAAGTACAATTAATCTAAACAAATATAGGTAACAATAGGTGAAAATATTTCTAACAACCTTTTATCCTTATATTCCATCCCATTATTTTCGTGTATATTTTTTTGTGTATTACGTGTATCATGAACTCCAAACATATACACATAGGAGTATATATAAGTGCCTTTCAAATTTATCCTTATTTATACATTCCGTTGTTTCTTATGATTATTTGTAAATTACATATATTATAAACTTTAAGTAGACTCTTCTACCTTTAGCATAAGTGAAAACCTTTATGAGTAATTTTCTCTGACAAATATACGTGAATATATTTATAGTGACCTTTTATCCTCTTTAACCCATCTACTTATCATAAACTGGTAAACAGTTATAGGTGAGAGAAAAAAAAAAATAATAAATAATAAAAAAAATTAGTTCCTTCTGTTTCAGCAATCTTGTTTTTTTCATATTTGGATTCTTGCTAACCAGCTCTTTCCTTCATCTGTGTCGATAAAAGAAAATCTTTCTTGTCTCCAAATAAATTTCAAAGAAGCCGGAATGCTCCATTGAAATCTAATATCATTTTTCCTCAAAAAATCCATTAATGTTGAAAAAGATTTTCTCCAAGTTCTAGTGAAATAAGATAAATCTTGCAAAAAATATATATCCTTATAAACAGAATTTGTTAGGGGTTTTGTGTGTCTGGCCTTGATCAAATTATTTTTAGCTGAGAGTGAGCAGAAACTCACTATCACGTCTCTTGGAAAATGAGCTGCAATTATATTAGGTTTTCGAATCCGGTGGATCTTTTCTATTTGATGATCAATTGTCTCAGGAAGAACTTCTTTAAATAAGCTGCATAAATAATCATTTAATTTCTCCGTTGTTATGTCTTCAGATATTCCTCTGAGTCTTATATTAAATTTTCTTGATCTATCTTCTAAGATTGCTATTTTTTTGTTCCAAAGTTTAACTTTGTCTGTTAGGAACTGCACTGTTTCCTTAACTGTGCCTAATTGATTGTCAAACGTTACAAGTTTTTTTTCCAAAGCTTGCACTGATATTGCAATTCTTTTTGTATCTTGTTTGATATCTTCGAGACTTTTAAGCATATCTTGCTTTAGTGTGTTGAATTGTGATTCTAATAGGAATTTAAGCTGATCTTGTAGGCTGTCTTTCGTTGTTTCAAGAACTGATAGCGGTCCTTGAACCGTTGAGAAATCTGCATTGGTGTTAGAAGTATTCACCAAGTTTATCTCACGTTCACTTTTTCTGTTCTTGTAAATCTTTAGAGGAGGAAAAAAAAAAGACATCCTTTTTTCTATTGATTGTACTGGCTTATTTTCCTTCTTTCTCCATAGTAGTTTTTCTAGTTGCCATTTTGCTAATTACACAAGAATTGTTACAATACTGCCTTAAGCTGGATTTTAGATATATAGTAGATTTCTTCTCCCTTTTTTCCTTTTCTTTCTTTTCTCCTTTCTTTTTCCCTTCTTCTTTTCTTCCTTTTTTCTGTTTTGCCCCTTTTCCTTTCTTTTTCTTCTCTCCTCCTTCCCTCTCTCTTTTCTTTTTTTTTTCACTCTTCTTTCCACTTCTTTCCACTCTCTTTTCTTTTTCCTTCTTTCTTTCCCCCTTTCTCTTATCTTTTTTCTCTTTCTTTAATTTAATGACAACTTCTTAATATTTTCAGCTTATGACAGCTTACAAAATCAGTCTAATTGTTATAGCATATCAGTCTTTGATGTTTATTTTTCTGCCTTTTCTGCCTTTATTTTATATTAAATATTAACTTAATTAGGCTTATATATTTCCAACTTCAGCTTGTTGTTTTCATTGATAAAAATATATACTGGCCATTTTCAGTAGTTTTTCCTTGTTAATTTTCATTTCCACGCTGGAATTTGTTTAATCCAATGCAGCTCAGTAATCTGATCGTGGTCAGCTCACTTTCGCTCGCTTCTGTCACAGCAGTTCTTCCAGACCGCCGAATATGCTCGGCGTGGTTACTTTCCTTCTACGCGGTTCTGCCTGATCACCATTTCTCCGGACACTCCCACCTCCTGCACGTGTTGCGTCTCACGTCATCACGTACCCCCATTAACCGCACGTCCATTTCTTTGCTTCTTCAACACTGATTTTGGCAGCTTCCAAATTCCTCCGAAGACGTTCAGTTTCCATAAAGATGTTGTAACCGTGGAAGCGTGCAGAAGCCAAACACAGAGAGATGGACACAGGTATTCAGGAAGTAAGAGGCCTTTATTCACGTACCGATCGGGTCTCAGATGAACTCCTGTTCCAAAAATATCTGAGTCCTGAACACATATATTCATTATATAGCACTGTAACTCCTCCCATAATCAGCTACGCCCACACATACCCTTAACCTAATCAATGAACAGAGTCTAAACTCATCCATCTGGTCTAACCACGTGGCTCATCTGAAACAAAGGAGAAGGGCGCGTAATTCCAGTTCCTGCATTCTTGCACATGCTCAGTACATTGACAATATCTTAGCTATGTGTAACTAACTAATATATACTACAAACACAAGGAACCTACATATGCATCATGGCAATCTTGGCCTACTAAACTTTTATTTTACTGGAATTCCATCACAATGTCGTCATTAGAGAATTCGTCAAAAATCTCAGTCAATTTTGGAGTATAATTCCAAATATCTTATCTCTGTTGCAACAACCAGAGTGTTTGGCTGAATAACAGTAAACATTGAAAGGATTTTTTCAATTGCCTTAGAACGAATTTCCAACTCGTGATGAAAACGGTCAAGGCATTCAAAGATAGCCCTTTTCATTTCCTCTGGCAATTTGAGACCAGCGTCCTTTGCCTTCTCTCTTGGCATTGTTTTCCGGAGCTTTACTAAACCTCTTCTTTCCATAGAAATATCCACTTCTTCACATGTAGTAGTTGCATAACAAATGGCCTTCTCCACAATTTCACTGCGCTGATCTGCAAGAAAAGCTTTCAGACCTTGTAGTTTCACAATGCACTTTTCAAGAGTGAGTCCCACTGTTTGCAAATACTTCTGTGTGATATTAACGTCTTCTAGAACTTCACACTAGAAGGAAAGGTAACACAAAAAATAAAAATCACATACGACAGAAAGCAACATCTGAGCCGAACCTCTTGTGTTCACATTTTCTCTGGGATGACCCAGTTTTTCAAGGACTGAAGTCAGTTTTTCAAAATTTGTCCTCACTGGCTTCACATCATCATAATGAGCACTCCATTTTGTTTGGGAAAGTCTTTTCACTGTCACACCTAAATTCTCCATCAGCAATTCCCAACGATGTCTAGAAACCAGAGAAAAATGAATACACTCTCTCCAATGTTCCAAAAAAGATCACACAGGAAGCAACACTTCCAAATGTGTGCACCCCACAGAGGTTCAGAGAATGGTTTGCACATGGCATAAACAAAGCATTGGGATTAATCTCTTTTATTTTTGAACACCACCATGAGTCCCTGCCATAGTTGCAGCATTATCATATCCTTGGCAAAGGCTTATGTCTAGTCCATCTTCCTCCAGATGTTGCAGGATATTTTCTGTGTGCTCAGCTGCAGTCTTTTCAGCAATAGGAAAGAAGCATAAGAATGATTCCTTTACTTCAACATTGTCACCTTCAATATGAACATATCTGATCACTTCACACATCTAATCAATGTGGGACACATCAGGGGTGATGTCAAAAAGAATCCCAAAATACTTTGCTTTCTTGATATAAGCCACTATTTTGTTCTTCACGTGATTCCCCAAAAGACCAATGAATTCATTCTGAATTTTTGGAGTGTCAGAATATTTATATCAACAGACATTTTGTGGTAAAAAGAAATTAAAAGTGTATATTGCCAAAGCCACTCAGAACAAAGCAGACTCCATTTTGCTATCTTCAGGATAGCAGAGACATAGTTTCTTCTTACTTTCACTAACCAAGATAAGCAATTAAGCAAGGGGGATGGAATGCTCTGTCTAAATGTTAAAGGAATGTATTATCTAAACACAGACACTAGTGACAGAGAAGACTAAGTAATTGATTTTACTTTCTAAGTTTTATAAGGTACCATTGTAAAATAAGGGGTGAAATTGAGATTAGAACTGTCAATTTTACAAGTTACGACCAAAGTAGATGCCACAAAGACTGGCACAAACGCTTTGAACTGACAGCAAATCTAGGTTATGGTAGTCATTTTAGATAAGCCAAATGATGTCAAAATCGTCATCAGGAAAAGTTAACTCTTTCCTTGATAGGAAGTAGTGATGTACCGAACGGTTCGCTGGCGAACATAGCATGTTCGCGTTCGCCACGGCGGGCGAACATATGCGTGGTTCGACCCGCCCCCTATTCGTCATCATTGAGTAAACTTTGACCCTGTACCTCACAGTCAGCAGACACATTCCAGCCAATTAGCAGCACAGCCTCCCTAGCAGACCCTCCCACCTACTGAACAGCATCCATTTTAGATTCATTCTCAAGCTGCATGCTTAGTAAGAGGAGGGAAAGTGTAGCTGCTGTTCATAAGATAGGGAAAAGCATAGCTAGGTTAGGGATAAGGGTATGCTTTTTTTTTATTTATTTTTTCTATGTAATGTAAATGCACTTAGTTGTCTGCCACTGCTGCCAGCTTCTGTGTCAGGCTCACAGTGCATACTGTGCCCATTTCCCCAGTCAGTGCCACCAATTACATCTGGTGTCACAATAGCTTGGATTTAAAAACAAAAAACTTTTTTCACTGTTATAGATTGAATAGCAGTCAGTTGTCTGCCACTGCTGCCAGCTTCTGTGTCAGGCTCACAGTGCATACTGTGCCCATTTCCCCAGTCAGTGCCACCACTTAGATCTGGTGTCACAATAGCTTGGATTTAAAAACAAAAAACACTTTTTTCACTGTTATAGATTGAATAGCAGTCAGTGTCCTTAAAGCGGGTGTGTTACGCTAACAGTGGATACGCTGACAGTGCCACTAATTAGATCTGGTGTCACAATAGCTTGGATTTAAAAAAAAAAACTTTTTTCACTGTTATAGATTGAATAGCAGTCAGTGTCCTTAAAGCGGGTGTGTTACGCTAACAGTGGATACGCTGACCAGTGCCACTAATTAGATCTGGTGTCACAATAGTTTGGATTTAAAAAAAAATAATCTTTTTTCACTGTTATAGATTGAATAGCAGTCAGTGTCCTTAAAGCGGGTGTGTTAAGCTAACAGTGGATACGCTGACCAGTGCCACCAATTAGATCTGGTGACACCAAGCTTGGATTTAAAAAAACAAAACACTTTTTTCACTGTTATAGATTGAATAGCAGTCAGTGTCCTTAAAGCGGGTGTGTTACGCTAACAGTGGATACGCTGACAAGTGCCACTAATTAGATCTGGTGTCACAATAGTTTGGATTTAAAAACAAAATAATATTTTTTTCACTGTTATAGATTGAATAGCAGTCAGTGTCCTTAAAGCGGGTGTGTTACGCTAACAGTGGATACGGTGACCAGTGCCACCAATTAGATCTGGTGACACAAAGCTTGGATTTAAAAAAACAAAACACTTTTTTCACTGTTATAGATTGAATAGCAGTTAGTTATCTTCAAGCAGGTGTGTTACGCTAACAGTG